GGCAAAAGGGTAGAATTACTTCAAGCACATTCCTTGGAATATGATTCAAGTTAACAAAACTCCAGCCAAAAAGCCCAAAACATTTTCCCTTATAAGAACATACCAATTGGGAAGTATTATCCACTCAGTCGCAGCAAGTGTATCCTTTTTTAGTGAAGCTTCAAAGATGCCAGACTCACATTCAGAATTACAAGACAACTCTTTAATCGCCAATACAACCACACAAACAAATACCATGATTGTCCAATCACAATCCAGTTCATATCAAACCAACCTCTAACCAAATCCCTCAAAAACACCCACCAATCACAAACAGCCCCCTAGTGAAGAGTTGTACAAAGACGGCTCATCCATGTCTATAGACTTAAACTTTCCCATTCCAGAAGACATAGATATGGGAAACACTATAGGCTTATACATATTCCAGGAAAAAGAAAACAATTACAATAACCAATTATCAGACACTTCTGTCATGTCACAATTAACTACTATCCCTGGTCAGAACAAATCAAGTCTCACATTTTCACGTTCCCCCTTACCTATTCTCAAAAGTGCCCAACCCTCCAAACAACAACGGGAACAAGAGCATCCAGTGAAAAGAAGTATCTATAAAGGAAAGCTGGACACAACATACAAAAGACTTTGGGCATATAAAGAAGATCTCATTCTTAAGCACTCAGGAATAGAGGACTATAACATAACTATCAATTCTGAAGATGACAAAAATAATCTAAACATTCCTGACGATCTTATCACTGAATATCATCGAATTGTTCAGTGGGCATCCAAACTTATCACAATTAGAAACAATTCAGAGGAACTTATTAAACTTCTATTAGATATCAATCAGCAACCCAAAGATAAGATTAGACAAAAACCTCACCTAGCTATCTTCGTCAAAATAGAGGCTAGGGACAGAGACTTTTTTAACTTCAGTAAAACATCTGAACTCAGAGAAGACCACCAAAAAGAGTACGAAAAACTAGAAGGTCAATTCCAAAAAATCTATAGAAGCAAGCACAAAGTCACAGAACTTAACAGAGAAGTCAGATCTAAAATCAAGTTGCTATTTAGCACCAGCTTGTTCATCACCTATCTAAGATATATCAATATATTCAATCTTAGTCCTTACCTACTAGCACAAATCATAGAGTATAGGTGCAACTACCTCTGCCGACCTAGAGGAGACAGCAAGCTAGACTATCACAAATTTCTCCGAGAAAGCAAAAAAATGTTTCAAAACAATCTTTCTGAGCTTTCTACTTCTCCAGACCTAATTCCCCCTCAAATAAAGGCCAAAATTCCTCACAGAATCCCTATCCTTGATAGAAGCACTACAGCAAGCATTGTGGGATCTTTCCACTCCCTTTATAAATTCACCTTTCTTCCTGACTTATACTTCATAACACTTCCAGACCTCTCCAATCACCTTCAAGATCTTTCCAAAGACGTATCACATCTCTTTCCAATTAGAATAAGAAAAGATCTTAAAAACTTGAGAAACATGATTAGGAAACTCAGAAACTTCTTTATCGTCCTCCCCCAAAATTCCATCAACTTATTTTAATCTCCCACTTCTAAAAATACCACTTCCTTCAGCTTCTGATTAGCTAGATCCAGAGTTTACATATCTCTTTCCACTTGATATATCAGTAAACAGTATTAGAGATGCCGTTAAAACTCTCAAATCCAAATATTATTTTGAACGACTCCCTTTCAATTTCTTCAAACCTAAAAGACTCCTTCCAACCTTTCCATCAACTATTAACGAATATCGATCCAAATTAGAAATTCAGATTCTCACCACAAACTCTCATAATATCCAATTCTTAATCAAAATGTTAAGAACTGAGTTTCACTTCACATTCCTACTAGGTCCACTATGGGTAGATCCTGAGATTGCCCAAACAAACAAACCAAAACTTCCAAAAAAAATAGAAGACATTAAACCAGACCTGAACATTAAACAGCTCTATCACAGTGATACTCAACTTAAGGAAAAAATCAAAACTCTACACGAGTTCTATGAGTTTCAAAGGATTCCAGAGAATTAGTTCACCAATTCACGAGTTTCATTGCCTGAAGATCTACAAGAAATCAACAAAATCCTATTAGACAGTAGCCTTATGACTCTCAAATTTTCTCTAGTTGACAACGATGCCCTCTCAACAATTATCTATCAACTCCATCAAATATTCTTATTCACCAGATTACCCGACTCCCTCATTATTAAAGAGACACTCCAAGAACCAGAGTTTGAACTTCTTCCCTTCTTATGTTAAACAACATGAGTAGTAATCTCAGCAAGCGTAATACAATAGTCAATTTTGACTCACTAAATGCTCAACACAATTCATTTATCTATAATATCACAAACACACCTAGCAAAAACCTATCACAAAAACCTCCTAAATAACCTATCTTAAACTCTACAGACCAACCTTACAACAATACAAAAAACCTTATCACCCTTATCACTATTAACACCAGAGATCTCAATGATCACACCAAACTCAAAGCTTTGGTGAACACAACAGATAACAGATTTATTCTAATGTGTACTGAAACAAAACTGAAAAAAGAAGACCACCATCCAAAGAACATCAACGGAAGATCAATAATTTATGGCAACTCCAACTATGCGAAAAATGGTACCATGTTTATTATTGGCAAAGATCTGTCACCACACGTGTTCAAAATAGAAGAAGTCTCTGAATATTGCTCTTCAATTATCCTAAAGTTCAAAAATTAATATATTACTAACAGTAGTATACCATCCACATGAGAGAAAAATAAGAGACCCGGCTATCAAATAACTACAGTCATATCTCAGTTATATTCCCTTCAGTTATATCCCAATCTCACTCATATCCCAGCTTTAGCGTGGGACGAATTTCTCTATTCTAATATAAATATACCTCAGTTGTATCCTACTCAGATATATCCCTATCCCCAACTTTCACAATCCCAATTTCCCAATTTTATAGTTATCCAACCTTGTTTATATCCCCTAAATTACACAAGAAATCATGAAAAATATAAAATATAAAAAATATATATACTGTATATACAGTATATGGCTGATTCTTTTTGAAAACGACAAAAATGTTATATATGATATTTTGATCACTATTTTTTGAACAATACATATACAATATAAATTCTAGGAGTACAATTATAAAGTCAGAAAAATCCCTGTCTGCCTTCAAAAAGAATTACTTATATATATAAAATGATAATGAATTAATAATGCCATAACAATGGGAATTCGCTGCTCCTGCCCAAAGAAGAAACAAGAACAAGAAAAGGCCCTGAGAATACAACTGGTATGCTGTATGATCATGAGAAAATTGATGCACCTCCAACATACAAAGAAAAAATAACAGATTAGCATTGACTATTTCTTTTTTTTAAGTAACACACCAAGACAAAGGCAGGACACCATACCTTTTTGTGCTGCCCCAAAGTATTATGCTAGGAATGGCATCCATTCACAATGACTTTCACTTCCGAAGAAGATTACATTTCAGTGCACATCCGTGTGGTTGATAATTTCACCGAATCACTAGTTAAGAAACTTGGATGCAACTTCGATGAAGAAATGCAACTATACATAAAAAAGAAAAGAAAGGAAAGAGAACATTTACCTCTCAACAAGTTGCCAGTCCCGAAGGTCATGCCGGGTGCCGACGATCACGAAAGTCGCGACACCGAAAGAAGCAAGGAACAAGTTTCTAAAAGAAAGAAGGACTGTCCAGTAAAAAGAAAAGAACAGCAGAAAAACTAATGGCAAAGAACCAAACTTACTGACGAGACTCCAGTAGCTCCTGCCAGAGATGATGGATATCGCTGAGGGTCAAGGAGAACCCGCGGATGGCAAATTGAACGTGAAGCATGAAGCTAGGAAAAGACTGATAAGAAAAAGTTAGAAGCCAATAGTAGAATGCCACAAAAGAAAGAAAACACTGCAACTTATCGAGTTGCACCAAGACTGATGACTGGAAATGCTGAAATGTCATCATGATCACGATCACAATCGCAATCACGAAAGTTTACCCTACAAAGTAGAATAATGCACACCTAGAATATACTGTATATGCATGCATATATATTCAGAATGGCAAAAAATGTCTAAATGCTCTGACAAGCCCCACAACAAAATCAATCATAGGTCCCAGATTCAAGTTTATACATAATCTCAGATGTGACATCTTGATGCTGCCATAATCGTGATCACCATTATTATCATGATTGCATATTCTCCCCATACAAGAAATCATGAACGAATCCAAAGTCTTACTGAATGTCTATGGGCCTTGACTTCATTTGCACCAAAGAAGCAAAATAAGAGTTCCGTTAAAAAAAAATGGATTACTTTGGTGGACGAAGGCATGCACATTATCTTAGTAATCCTAACCTTTTATATATATCAACGCCAGCTCATTCAATGCAATCGGTTTCTCTAATACAACAAATGTCATCTGCTCTTGATGGAAGTATTTACGATACCTCTACAAAACAAGAGACATGAATCATGTTATGATTAAATCCCTGTCCCTTTATAAAAAGAAAAGAAGAATGCATGATACACATACGATAAGTGTGAGGAAATGTAACAGGTAAAAATGAAACACGATGTCTATTATGTGACAAATTGTCGTGTTAGTATCCAAACGACTATGAAAATTAGGTAATAAAGGGAGAGACAGAAGGATTGTGAAAAAGAATTATGTCATCCAGCTTTAATATTAACACCTATTATTCTATGGCTAAGTCAGCATAGACAGATATAAGGAAGAGAAGTATAAATAACATATAAATGTAAGAGAATAGAAACAGGTAGTCATAGTGAATAAATAAAGACTCGATCGAATAAAACATGCCTCAATTTACCTTTTGTTTACTTACTCTTATAATGGTTATGTGAATCTCTGCTAAAGTGAGCGCGACAGACTTGCCGATACACCATTACACTAGTATTTTGTTAAATTTGATTAAATATGGCTAGTTCTTCAAAAACCATTAATGCAGATAAGCAAAGAAAACGAAGAAAAAATCTATCACTCAAAAACAAAGTTGATATCATTAGAAGAAAAGATACTGATGTAAAATTAAATGATGAAAAACTGGCTGTAGAGTTTGGTGTAGAACGTTCCACTATAAGTGGCATTCTTCGGAATAAAGAGAAATTTCTACAGTTGCATGCAGATGCTAAGAGTTCAGATCTGAAAAAAATGTGCATACAGATGGCATGATTTTATTTATTAGAAGAGACACTTTATAAATGGTTTGAAGGTTTATGCAGTCAAAATATTCCAGTTTCCCAAGATTTGTTAAAAATGAAGGCAGTTGAACTTTATAATAAGGCTATAAAACAGGGTGCACAATTTCCTAATTTTGAAACATCAAACGGGTGGTTGGAAAAGTTTCAGAATCAATATAACATTTGTTGCAAAACTATCACTGGTAAAAGTGAATCCATATGTCTTGACCAAGTAGAGAATGGAAGAAAAGAATTGCAACAAATAATAGCTACGTTTAACATAGATAATGTTTACAATGAAGATGAAACAGGACTCTTCTTCCATTTAGGTCTAAACAAAACACTTGTATCAAAAGGTGATAAAGCAAAAGATACTAAAAAAGACAAAGAACGCATTACAGTCTTGCATTGTTGCAATGCAACAGGAACAAAAAAACTAAAGCCATTTGTCATAGGAAAAGTCAAAAATCCTCGTTGTTTCAAAAATATCAACTTGACAACATTGCCTATCAGATATTTTAGCAATAAAAAAGCCTGGATAACAATTGAAAGGTGGAATGAATGGCTAAAGTGATTTGACAATCAACTATCTCAGAAGTCACTTTTGTTGGTTGATAATTGTCCTGCACATACAGATGGCTCATCCCTTGGTCTTAAAAATTTACAAATTAAATTTCTTCCAGCAAATATGATGGCTTACATTTAATCATGCAATGCTGAAATCATTCGCAATTTTAAAGTTTATTATCAAAAGATATTAGTATTACAATGGATTCATGAGTTAAATGAAGGACAAGAAATGAAAAAACCAAATATTAAAAAAGCGATTGAAATAGTTGCAGATGCTTGGAACAATGTAAAACAGGAGACAATAAAGAACTGCTGGTTAAGCACAGGAATATTAACTGCAGAAATGATACATGCCAATACAGATAATATGAAGACTGATGAAGCCGATAATGATATAGTTGAATTGATTTCAGCTTTAGATAGTCTTAGCATTGTAGAACCCTCAATAGATAATTTGACAGCGAATGAATATATTGAGATAAATAATAATTTGGTTAGTGCAGAGTTATCTACAGATGACGAACTCATTGAAGAAATTCTTTTGACTGAAGGAGTCTTACACCCGACACAAGTAGATATGGAAGATTCAAGTGAGAAAGAAGAAGAAAGCATTTCTGTAAAGGTGGGAAGAGAAGCACTTGTAACAGCCAAGAAGTTTTTAGAACAAAGAGAATTTATAACAGAAAATGATATAAGATATATTCGCAATATAATTAAGCACTTAAATAAAACAGTAGAAATGTCAAAATGTTAAACTTCACTAATGGAATTTATTAATCAATAAAATTGCACGATATTATTTATAAAAATGCTATACCTCAGTTATATCCCAACCTCAGATATATCCCCAAAAATCTCGGGTTCCAAAGTGGGATATAAATGAGATATGACTGTATATCAAACAACCAAACTGGCCATATGTAACAAACTACATCATATAATCTTAGGAGATTTCAACTCCTACCCCAAAAACAGTCCATTAATCAAAGCAAAAACCTCTTCATACAAACAATTAGCTTACAAACATCTCAACAATTACATTGACATTGGACAACAATATGATAGTAGAGCATTCACCTACATTATCAACAACAGTGCCTCATGAATAGATCAAGCATAAGTATCGAGAATTCTTGCTCCCAAAATAATCTGATATGAGGTTCAGGAAATGGATTTCATTCCAACTGACCACTATGCAATTTCGATAAAACTAGATTACTTTAAGTTCAGAAAAATCAAACCAGCCTTCAGGTTCAATCTTAACAAAACCTTAAAAGAAAACGTTACAGAATTCACCAAAGAATTAGATTACTGGATCAGTCTTTTATCATTACCAGATTGGAACAACTTCCATAGTATCTGCATCAATACCTTTAACAAACATATCAAGAAAACCAAAGTTAACTTTATCCGAAAAGATCATCGCACCAGTGCGGAAAAAAAATTCAAAAAACAAATCAACAAAATCAACAAAACAATGATACAACTCAAAAACAACTAGAGACTCTTATCCTCTCTGGACCAGGAGTTAATAACTCTGTATGAAGTTGTTAATCACAGTTCCAAAGTGTCAATTAAAGGTTTGCAAAAGCTAAAGAAACTATTAATCAAGGAAACTCTACTCCAGTCCCAACAAGAATTAGCTGAAGAATTTCGTCTAAGTTTGGAAAACATGGTAGAGAACTTCTATAGCAAACCAAAGAGTTATATCAAAAAAGCTCTTGAAACTATCAAACCAAAAATCAATTTGTTCAAAATATACAATTCCGACAATCAACTGGAAGACGATTCAGATCTTATTCAAGAAACTATTAACAAATACTTTAAAAACATCTTACGATCCAGAGATTTCAAACTTGAGGATTTTCCTGAATGGAAAGAAGTCTATACTCCCAAATCAATCAATCAAGAAATATATAACAATCTTACAAATCCATATATTCCCTCAAATGTCAAAGAAGCCATTCGTAAGCTTCCAAAGAACAAAGCTCCAGAAAAATCTGGGGTCAGCTATAACATCATCAAACTTATGGAAGACAAAGCTATTGTGTACATGACGACAGTATTCAATCATATCCTACAATCTACCTCCATACTCAAGCAGTGGAAACAAACTATTATCACACTTATCCCAAAGAAAGTAGTGTGGAGCCACAAGCTTGCTGACACTAGACCCATCTCGCTTGTTGACTCTATAAGAAAAATATTTACAGAACTGATTAATAAAAAATTAACCAAAATCCTCAAAGATAATAACATATTATCAGAATTCAATTGCACAGGCCTTCTAGGACAAAGTACAATAAAACCCCTAATAATTGTATACTCAGCTCTCCAAGCAGCAAATGCAAACAATAAGGAATTTTGGTTCGCCTCCCTTGACATCGCCAAAGCATTTGACTCAGCTCCAATATCAGCAATCAAAAGATCATTAGAAAGAATCAACTGTCCTGAGCAAATCAACAAACTTCTTATCAATATTCTGAGCAACAAAGAAGTATCCATCAATACACCATTTGGACCAACTGACCCATTCATTGTCAACAATGGAGTAGAACAAGGCAAAACTCTATCACCTATTACATTAATTATTTTTTATGACCCCCTGGTCACTAAACTATTACAATACGACTCAGTTAAAGGATACGTGGTTCCCAACATGCTTGCATACATGGATGATCTAGCCCTCATCACAGACTCCAAGCAATAAATAGCAAATCTTCTAAATGTAGCCAACCAATTCTTCGCATTGAACAACATCACATGCAATAAAGAAAAAACAAAAATAATCAACAATATCAGAGTAAAGCATGGCACTCAGAGCACCATCAGATTTGACAACCACCATGTCTAAATTCTCAAACCATATAAAAGTGTTAAGTACCTTGGAACATTAATCTCTCTTAGAAATTTTAACAAAGTCAATAGAAAAGCATTCTTGCAGACATTATCACAAATAATTGAGGAGCTTACTAAACACAATTGGAAAGGAGAAATCAAGCAACAAATCAACAATTGGGTCATTATGGAGAAGTTCGAGTATTTTTTACTCTCCTTATTCTTCAACAAAATGACTATTAACTTACTCCAAACCAAAATAAACAAACTGGTAAAGTCGGCATACAAGATTTCATCAAAATGCTCCAACACAATCCTAGTCCGCCGCAGTGGTCTCAACTTGACAGTGTTAGAAGAGAGGCAAAAGATCGCCTTAATAAGAAATCTCATCTCCAAACTTTCTATTTCCTCTATCAGAAAATATATAACACAAGACATTCAGTCCATCCAAACAAAAAAAGCTATTTGGTTCTGTCCCATTTGTAACCTAGAGAAATTCAATCAGGAAAACTGGATCCTTTATGCTGCAAAATCAGCCAAGAACCTCAAAATCCAAATTTGTTCAACATAATGTTTATTTCATCTTGACAACGCAGAAAACTCGATTGGATTTCTATTCACCAACATGCAGTCACAACTCAGAAAGACAGCAATTAGTATAACTAATGCCCTCAACATAAAGTTTATTAACCAACTGCTAAAATACAACAACACTACCAAACTTTTCTGGTCACAGCTCACTACACATACATAAATAATTCGCTTGGGTCCAGAGCCCAATTGGTTCAAAGCATTTGCAAATACTAAGAACCTGTCTAGAACTTACAGCCCAATACCAAATCCTAAAACAACATTTTGGTTTCTACATAACATCAATGTAATTGTTAAGACTCACAAAAGATATACTCTTATAAATGAAAGAACACCACTCAAAGAAAAGCATTTCACTATAGATCTCGACAATAATCTCACTAGATGTTCAGGCTGCCCAATCGACACACTCTCCCATGGTTTCTGTTGAATACCATTCACAAGTATGTCCGCTTTTACTCTATGGGTCTCTTTCAGTCCTTTCAATAGATTCAAATACCGTCTGCTTAACATAATAGATGAAATTGTCAACTCCCCACCAAATAATAAACACATTCTTCAAGAAGTCAATATCTTTGCTAGTCATTCTCCTCAATCATTATTACAAAACCTTGGCATACAACAACATTACCATATTCAATCTCACAAGAATAGTCTATTTATAAATGAGACTGAAGTAAAACCGCTCAACTTTTGCTTATCACCAGGCAACACTTTATTGGCAATCTTTGACATTGTACAAGGAATCCCAGCTCACTCTACTATTGAAATTAGAAACAATAAAGAAATCCTTTAACCAATATCTGAATACTCAAGAAGAATGGTTAAAATCAACTTTTCCTCACTGTCTCAAATAATAAATCAGTACATACAACAAAAATCTATAGAGATCGTATATACCAAACCAAAATCCAGACCAAGATCAACCAGAACTATCCAATGAAACAACCCTTCACTACACTTTCCAGAAAACCTCATAATCAATAATTCTTACTTGGATAGTAGTATCAGATGGTGCAAGAAAATCTTTAGTATTACCAGAAACTACATGGTGTGTGAAAGCTCCTCAGTTGTCCAAACATTTGGACAAACACATACCCCATATGGTCTAAAAGTCATCAACCAGTTCAACAAAAATATAAGAAAACTCTGTAATAACAAATACAGTATCTTAGTAGTCTTCAGAATCAAACTGCTTTCAGGAACTCTTCCAACCCATCTTACATTTCACCAGTTATATCCTAATCAATATCCAAATACTCTCTGTCCACTATGTGAACTCCGTGCGAAAGATATTCAATATGTTTTCAAATGTGCAGAAGCATTACAAGCAGCTGAGCAAATTATTAAAACTATCAATTAAACTCTCCATCCAGATGATAATCATAAACCAATCTCACATATATGGCAAGTCGTTGAGTTGTCATGTGGAGTTACAGACAAATTCTTCTCGACCACAGACTCTACGAACTGGATCAAGGTGGCAACAGAATCTTTGTCCTTATTGCATGATCTAATTTGGAAACCACATTGCTCTATAGCCAATACTTCACCTTTCACTGGAATCAAGTGGGACCATACCAAGATACATAACTCAACCAATTCCATTAATTCAGAAGCTAAAAACATCTTACTGGCCAAAGACATCTCCAATAATCCACAAGATAATATTATGTTTGATCTACCTTCTACCATAGCTAACTTATTCATCCAATCTAAATATAATTATTCCAAATATATTCATAGTCTAACAACTCTATCTGCCAATTCCAATTTTACTACTATTTCTCCTAATGCTGAGTAGGTATTCATAGCTGCTTGGTGTCATCTGGCAAGATATATTGTTTTAAATTTTCTTTTCAATATTAGTCTTATGGTTACTGTAGGCAAGCTAGCATTTAACTCATTGTATCAACATATGAGAGATATTGTTTCTTTCATGATGTACTGTATATCCTGCTATATACAAATCAAATAAAGAAATGATGTTTATCTACAAAAAAAAAAAAAAACAAAAAACAAAAAACAGATTATATCAAATAGTAAGTAGTGAAAAAATATTAGTTGATAATATCAGTTAATAATATTTTGCAATTTTTTATTATTTAAACAATATATAGCAAGTCTTGTATTTATACAAACTATCGTATACCATTGCATATAATACATCTCTTCAAATACTACCCCCACTAATAATAACAGGTAGTATTCAAGAAAATTGTTGCTTGATAATTGATTACTATCCAGGTATATTAATATAATAATAAGAAAAACAATATTATTTTGAATTTTATAATAATTATATATCCTGCTACTAATACTACA